ACAAAGTAATAAGCACCGTCATTTTTTTGTGAAAGACTATAAAAAGGAATGTTATTGTTAACAATTACCAATGTACAAGCAAACTAATGAATACTTTTGGATAATAATAGTAATAATCATGATAAAAATGTCAAAGAATCATGAATATATTTCTTTATATACATGTCTAGAATTAATTTAAAAAAGGATTGTAATACTGAACACGTAATAACACATGTCTATTGCTGTAACTTTTCATGTTAACTTATGTTCCAGTTTAGATATACTTTCGAATTCATGGACTTTACATGGTGATTATGTCTAAATTTCATTTTAACATTTTATTCTCGATTCATATGACTATTCATCATTGTTAACATAATCTCATAAATAAGAAAAGAGAAATCTGCTCAAAAGGATTCTTTAAAAAAATAATAAAAATTATGGTATTTTGAGCTTATGATCACAATTTTGAATAACTAATCTTTTCTTATTTGAACCTGTAAGCCCAGTGACGAAAGTCATCAAATTTATTAATTCTGAAGTTATTTAGTATTTAATTACAGAATTTTATAAATGTAGTGAACGAGAACATAAGTGCAGAATATCTATTGTAAAGTTGAGATCATGAGTCAATTGAAGCTAGACCACCATGGAAAATCTGAGGACACTGAAAGACCGTTTCATCCTATTGTGGAACTCCTCATCAGTGCGCATCGACGATCGCCCCTCAGTACAATGGAAGATGGTCACGCAATTTCGTGGATTGGTTGAGATTAAATATTAACACCATCGGATGCTGGTTCAGTGATCTGTCGGTTAAGTGCTCTGGCGCGAGATTAGTAGGTCCTGGGGTCGAATCTGGCGAGGCGGGATCGTGGATGCGCACTGCTGAAGAGTCCCACCCTAGGACGAGACGGCCATCCAGTGCTTCCAGGATTTCCATGGTGGTCTAGCTTCAATTGACTCATGATCTCAACTATATAAAACTACTAAAATCTCCACGAAACCTCCTCCTGATAACAATCGTTTGTATTTGAATACAAAATTAAAGAATTCATTAGTAAAATCTTACAACCATACAGCAGATACTTCATTTGCAAAATAACAGCCAATCGTCTCAAACTTCATTGTTCCTTCGTTTCCACACTAATCATTCTTTGTTCTCGTTTTCTTTTCTTAGACCTTTTTAGACTTCTACCGCCAAGTATTTCACTTTATATTGATGATACATACTACTTACATTTGTGGCACACATCAAACTAATAACCATTGAAACACATTATTGAAATAACTTTTTTATTTATATTTGATCTGTTCAATTTTTATTACACACTCTTGACCTTTTCTCATATAACGATATGAAGAATTATAAATATATAAAACCAAACGAAGTCATGACCTAGCAACTCTGAGTAAACCATTATGATTAGTATACTGTTTTTAATTAATGTTAAAACAATTTTTGTCCCATAACATTCTTTCTAACGTCCTAACTGCTTTTGTTCAAGTGTAGTATGGAAATAAAGAACGACATATCTGTTCAATATCCTAACTTGTTAATATATATCTGTCTATAGTAAACCATAACTATAGACGAAAGAACAATGTTTAAATGTCAATGTCTCTCATATTTTTAATTTATTTATTGTTAACATCTTCAATGTTAATTTGTATATTCCAAACTGATTCTTTCATGCCAACGTATTGTTTATGAATTGGTTACAATGAATGTTATAATTTTGTTAGACCAATAGATTACAATATTTTTTTTTACTTTTTTAAATACATAAACTCCTTTTTTTGTTTATTTTTGGGTCAAGGTATTAAGTGTTTAAAAGTGTCACTTTATTGGCAAACAGGTGTTTGGTAACAAACTTTAAGAGGTTACTCGTTATTAATGAAAATTTTCATAACTTTTGTTTGGTCAACTTTAAGCTCATATTAATTAATTGTAATGGATGGTCAAGATATACTGCAGAAATGAGAAATATATCATATTCACCATAGGACTATCGGAAAATAGTATCATATTGACCATAAAATCGGATGTTACTTGATTCAATCACGTGTATTATCTAGATGAGTTGAAAAAAAAGGTCAAAACATTTATTCGTTATTTCTTGGCTCACAAAAAAAACTTCAAAGTGATGTCATCTCGCAATCAATATGTTTGTAACTGATATATTTATTTATGTGGTGCACATTTAATTTTACCGATTTACGAATTATGTAAATTCCAAAATGAAATTAGTTTTTGGTATCTGTTTTCTGTTCTTTCTCTCTTTTGTCGAAGTAAACATATGACTATGAAAATGGTAAAACAGTGTTTCATATGGGATAAATGGGATTATTAATTGAATGACTGCAATCTTAAGAGAATTCGCCTTTTTCGCTGATTCTTCTCAGATGTTAATAACTTGAAAGTCATAGTACTAATTATTCAGCAACAAAACAAGAATACATAATTTACATCAGAAAAGTTATGAATACGGCTAAGGTAAACATAAAGGTAGATAAATGAATAAATAAATAATTTTAATTAGCTAAGTAGACATGAGACAAGAAGCATACATAATTAGGTATTGGCAATTGTGTTGAAAAGTACTTTGTCTGTAACTGCAAATCATTGATGTACACTAGTAGAAGCTATTTGGATTCATCCCTTTTTTGAAGGAAGCAGGTCAGTTTCTTGACACTTTTCATTCTTTCATTTTGTGGGATCGTTTTATACAGCGATAACATATCCAATCGAAACATGAATTGCAAAGAAATCTTGAAAACTTTTACCATTTGAATGTATTGAATGTGTCTTTTAAATTATGGACAGTTTCGCTAAGCAATAACTGAGTGTGAAAAATTATAAATTAAACATTGGTAATAATGATTTGACAAAAGCGTCCGTTTTATAAATTTTCGGTAAACCACACAAATAACGTAACCTGACAGCTCAAAATTTACGCTCGCTGTGTGTGATATTATAGTTTATTTTCTTTTCAAAAAGTTGTTATCTCTTCCTTTTTAAAATGTCTTTATGCTTTGTTCCCCCGGGCTATTAATCAAACAATTTATATTGCTATTAATTTGAATCTTATACACTTGACTTATGATGTATGTTGATTTCTTATAAATGTGCTAATGAGTTATGTGATTTGACAGCGGTCATTTGATCATTTACAACTTGCCTTTGTAAAATGTTGGCCCAGTTATCAAATTTTCTCCCTGTCGTATTAACTGAATTGGTTGATTATCAGCGTCTAATAATCCGCGTGAGGTGCTTTGAACTTTCAGTGTTAAAAAGATATCCTAATCCGAAGCTATATAGTCAAAGTGCATTTGTTTATTATTTCAGTATGATTTGCACTTGATTTTCTATCTGTAATTGTTGTGGACTTTTCATTTCCTTGAAAATTAAATGAAAAAGTAAACAGATTGTTGTATCAACTCTATAAATTCCTACACACTGCTTTACAAAGCTTAGAAAGCGTCGAACGCATCCAAGTTTCATAAAGAAATGTCCCCCTTTATCTTGAAGAGAGAAAGAACAAATATTGGAACAGAATATTATGGGTTCGTTTGATTTACGTCAGCCGCCTAAACCTTGTAATACTTAGAAACAAAACGGAATAAAATGAATTCATGTTATTTCGCTCGAACCTTTATTCTTATTTCACATTCTGTTCGCTACACTAATTACTACATAGGTTCTAAAAACAATATATTAGACTTTACTTGTGATTTATTTGATATTTCTTGAAAAGGTAATAATAAATTAACAAATCTCAACGACAAATAATAAACGAGTTTAAAGTGGGACTATTGGAGGAGTTATAGTTTGTATTATAATAACTGCCAAGTAAATAGAATTATATGATCGGATAGTCAAATCATAACGATGATTATTTTGCAAGAACGATTCATCAGTGAAACGTGGGTATAGTATGCAGTATATACACTAACCAAAACGTTTCATAATAGTGATTGTTTCCGGCAAGGATATTGATTAAACATGCATGTTATGAATAGATTAGAATTAGTTTTATGCAGTATAAAAAATAAGCAGAGTCTATTTATCCCACTGATATATTGTTATCTACTTGTTATGTGGTCAAATAGCATTATTCGGTTTAAAAGTAATTTTCATTGTGCTGCATCTATCACAGGTTCTAATGTTTTTACAAACTTTTCAGTAGTCAACATGTACAAACGCAATCTTTAGGTTTTATGGTTATCTGAATATTATTTTCGAAGTCAATATCGAATTATTAACAACTCCTGATCTTGATCAATTCGAAATAATTATGTTTATTAGCTAGTAACTTGCTCACTCTTCCGTTATCTCCTTAAACATTCTTAGGTTTTATAAGTGATTTCTAAGTACATAAGTTCAGAAACAGCTTATAATAAACGTTATTCTCAAAATGATTTAAAACGAAGCACTTTCCTCTCAATATTGCTCTGTATTTATGAGCTTTAAAGTTCATGTAACAATTACTCTACTGATTTTGTCTTCATAGATATTTTCATACAATTTTATGTGCAGTATACTGGTATTATCTTTGAACCTGAAAAAAAATTGATTGAAACATCGTACACATATGAGTAGATAGATGAAATTCAATGTTTAAGAACAATATGAGAACAACAGTCATACACAATTATACACTACAAATACTTCTAAAAAGACATTCATGAGAAACCATAATTTATATTAGATTAAAATGATATCAAATTAAATTTAAAAATAAATCAGAAAATTAGTTTCATTATTTCACTTTCCATATCATAGTAACTAGTAAAAAATGCACTCAATTTATTTATGGACACTTAGTTCCAATTTGTAACCAATCACAGATTATGTGAAATAAAATTTATCAAAAAGTGAATGATGACTTTTTATTTCCCAATTTATGTGTGTTTGTCTTTTAGTGAATGCACTCTAATTCCTCCTATGAAAAAAAAGTGTGTATTGTGTTCCAATAAAACTGCTTTTAAACTTATTTTGTTGTGTATTAGTATAGTTGACATTTTTAAAGATAAAATAGGGTAACAAAAGAAAAATAAAAGCGAATATAACTGAAAATATAAACTATATTACTTATTTCTATTAAGAAAAATATTAGGATATTTAGATAGTGCTGAAGACAATGAGATATTATATATACTTAAAATTTCATGGGATATAAGATCCAATAGTCATTATTATTGTCATCTGAATTACAAATTATAAAGTTAAATACTTCTTTATATACCTAGTAACAACCATGAACACACTTGTTATCTGAAACGAAGAGATCAGATATCACATTAGGGAACTCATTCTGTTCATTATGCATTTCCAAGAATTTACAACATAATCTTTTTTACACTGTATTATATTTTACCTAAGTACAATTACATATAAATTAAATAAGTACACATCTCACTATATACAAAATTATATGTGTTTCAAATTTTCGGATATAACTTACTACTTATATAATTTATTGAATAATATTTAATCAAGGAAAACTAACCAGCAGATTCTTTATAAATAAATTAGTAATATTTTCTTGACTTACTTACATACTTACGCCTGTAACGCCTCGTGGAGGAGCATAGGCCGTACACCAGCATTCTCCTTCCAACCCTGTCCTGAATAACCATATTGAATGAAAGATTAAATGTAAACTCAACAAACATTAGTTGATTTTCAAGTGAAGAACAACAAAATGTTTTTTGCACTGTCCACTTCAATGGGGATATTCATTTATATTTTATTTTTATTTGGTAAGTTAATAATCACTAAATTATTTGATGTAAATTAATTTTATTTTTATTATTTAAAATATCATTTCTTTGTGACTTATGATCTAGCTGAACTTCGGATCTGAATAAAAATTGAGATCATTTTGCTTAACCAGTCAATTCCTTGAATAATTTGATGAGAGACGAAGCTGAATGAGAACAAAGGTTAAATCAATAACAGCGCTTTAAAGGAACTAGCGTTGTATTAAGCAGTTCATAAAGAATGGGTTTTAATTGTGACTTAGTATTACAAACAGAATGTGAAGTCTATTCTGTCACACGATAAATAAACAAAATGATCATTAAGGCATAATACAGTAGAATAGAATCTAAGAGATATCAATTATCTCATAAGACAGATGTTTTTCTAATTTAGTTACAAGGCAACAGTTACAAAGCGTGATATAAGTAGGAATTTTTCAAAAGCTCACATTATTATTCATGGAAATAAATATACCTTTCGAAATAGTACGAATCTATGAATATGATTATCACGGAGATTAGTTTCTTATCCTTTGTTAGATGGAATTACGAAACTGATGATATGATGTGATGCATTATAAACTACAGTCAAACACATTATTTGAAGTTCAGCTTTTTTGTCTATCCTGTATTGCTAGACTCATATCTAGTTCAGTATATGTACGGGATGAAAACGTAACTACATCAAGCAGCAATAAATATTTTCTCTAAAATAGCCTACACTCTGAATCTTCAAGTTTGTTGACGTCATCTATCTGAAACAAAGCTAAAAAATAGCAGTAATCATATGTAAAAACCAAAATATCCCATAGAAAATGACATACCACAATCTCAATACCTTATTACAAAAAGACTTAAATTGCCTTATTTTAGACAAAAGCATATTTTATAAAGTCATTTCCTATATATTAGTGCGCTAGAAAAATTAAATCTTAAAACCTTAACAACCAATTTAGTTGGGAGATAAAAAGTGGTGATATGATTTGGATGTTGACAAACAAGCTAATTTCATCTACATAAAGTATATCCATCCTTTCGTTATCTACATTTAAAAAGTTCCGACATCCAAATACTTCAGCATATATATATATATATATATATATATATATATATATATATATATATATATATATAGTTATTTTTGACACTATCAGTGCCAAAAAGGAATTACTTCACTGTTGTTATAACTTTTCTATGCTCAAGTATCAACCACACAAAGTGTTTGGAATTTAGAATTTATATCCGAAAGTACTATATAAGAGTTAAAACTTAGTGCATCAGTGACCATAATGATGACAAACTTTTGGTCTTATCAATTTAAGGTGCTAAGAATTATACAATTTCCTTAAAACCACGATCCAGTGTAAGTGAGATAACCATCGAAAATTCGGAAGAACTGGACATCCGTTTCGTCAGATTAAGTAACTCTTCATTAGTGTGGATCCAGAGATTCAAACCTGGCACTTCCGGCCACAACATATAACAGTTTTTATTAAATACTGGTTTAAAGAAATTTTTTATGACAAGTCCAAACTAGTTTTCACAGAAAAATAATTCAAAATGGTATGTAGAATTATTGTGAAATTTTATTCCAAATATCTCTCAAATTAGTAATTGTCATAAACGGTAGGATACTTGTTATAACGCTAGGGTTTCTTGTTATAACAGTCTTTTCACTTTTTACACGTATGTAGGACGTTAATTTACCTTAGACGAATATCTACACTAGATTCCTGCCCAGTGTCTGTTCTACAGGACTTCAACACAACTCAGATCTAGAACACGAGATTAGCCTGACTATAACGTCAATATATTTCCACACCAAAATCCGACAACAAGGAACAGTCAATAAATAATAATAAGGATGGGGAATATATAACACATATAACACCTGTTACACTATCTACATATCTGACTCAGCAAAACAATCAATCATTATCATTCTCGCCCACACATTAGTATTCTTATTTTATTGACTGAGTCTTACTTTAATCCTATCTTCGTTTACTCATTATGTAATGACTTATTTCGGGCCCTTTAAACTGTTGTCACCATCAATGTTGTAGAATTTTCTTTTACATAAGGTATATATTTACAACACTCAGTTTACTGAATTTATTTACACCTTTACTATACTATACTAATGTATCTTCAACATAACTTCCAAATAAACTCTTTCATGTAAGTAATTTAAACCCATTTTAAATAAAGCCAGAACAAATATTGATGCAGAATATTATGAATTCATTACATTTCGTTGTTTCTCGTCAGCTGCCTACAACCGAATATGTATTGAAATTTTAGCATTGAGATAATGAGGTAATAAAGGATTCATGTATTTAAAAACAAATAGGACGGGTTACGTAATAATTGAATAGAATTTGGAGAGTTCATATAACTTAAGAGAAACAAGTGAGTGAAAGGGTGGTAATGGAAGAGGAATATGATACAAAACTAAATAATAACCAAAATAAAAGTAATGACCAGAACAAAAAACACAATATAATTGGACTACCAGTAGTAAGTTTATTAATGTCTCTTTTTGAATACACAGATCCGGTTTGAGTTTTTTATCGCGATCGCTTCAGCAAACCGGAGAGCAGCCGTACTTCTTTGTCTGCTAATAATTTTGAAAGCATGGGAAATTTCAGTGGTATACCTGGTGTCAAGTAAATGCCAATCCATAGCACTGTTGAGAGCCCTGGTCTCTCATAGTCTCAGTTTCTTCAGAACATGCTCAGAAATGCGAACATGTACTCTTCTCTCAGTTCTTCCAATGTATGTGCTTTGGCACGTGCATGCAAATTGGTAAATGCAATTGGAGCTACTGAGAAAAGAGGACTTGTCGATTTTAGCTTGTTTCAGTGAGCAGTTCGTTTCCCACACTGTTGTCAGTTTAGCTGTTGGGTAGGTCGATTTCAACACAGAATTAATACTGTGATTAATTATTCCAGAAATTTCATCTCCTTAGAAGCGTACGTATAAGAAGCAAGTTTTCTTTTCCACATTATCATACTCTACCTAAGGGTTGTTGTTTGCGTATTTATGGATGAATTTCTCCGGATATGCATTTTCACATAGGTACTTAGTGATTATATCAATTTCTTCTTCCAGACATTCATTTGAGTAGATTTTGCATGCGCAGTCAACCCACTTTATAATTATGATTTTTAAATAACACAGATTGTAAACAGCTGACAAGGGTCAAACTAAGTAGAATGGGTTGGGTTGTTTGTTTTTTATATATAGTTGAAATCATGAATCAATTGAAGCTAAACCACCATGGAAAACCTGGAAGCACTGGATGGCCGTTTCGTCCATGCTCTTCTATTAGAATCATTATTCTTACTCCTTTCAAAATCAGTAGAATTCAATTTGAATAAATTTCTAATAAATATTTTCAACTAACCTTTCAATGGTAATCAAATTTTTTGTTTCTTCACTTTAATTAAGAAAAACTCATTAGAAAATATTCAGACTAATTTAAGTCATTTAAATGAACTAATTTTGTTGTTCATCAAAAATACAAATAAAGAAATCAATTTAGTACCATTAGAATTTGTAGATGTCTTTAGTTATTTGATGAAATTTTCTCTCCTTTAATTTTTCTTTTTTTCTTCTTTTTTTAAGAGAAATGTATTTTGTCAAAATAATGGTCATAATTAAATTCAAAAAATTTTTTTAATTGTAATTGTAATTTGTAGTATTGCCTAAAGAAAATGTACCATTTTTTGTTTTGTTTTGAATTTGAGTGTAAGAAATTAAAATCGTTTACATAAAATTTTCTAAAAATTTTGAAATTGAAATTTATAGCGTTTACAGTTTACATTGAATATATATAAAAAATTTCGGTTATACAATGAATAAAGATGGATAGTGGCTAGCAGTGGAATCCAGGACGCACATTTCGTCTTATTTGGGACTCGTCAGCTGAATGTACCTGCATCTCAGAGTTGATGTTCACTCTGAGATTCGAACCCAGTACTTTTCGTTTTAAACGCCATCGTGTTATCTACTTATCTACTGAGTCTCGATAGCCACCTGCTTGTGCAATGGGGTGGAGTTATATTCACTTGGTGTTGTATACTTGTATCTACCAATTGCAATTTAGGACTGCAATTGATCAGTCTCTTGTTGGCATATGTGGATCCCGTGCTCATCGCTTCGATATTACCTGAAGTCACGAGATTTATTAGCAAAGAGACTGATCAATTGCAGTCCTAAATAACAATGGGAAGATAGAAGTATACAATACATCATGTCAATATGCAGTGAATAGTTTTGTATTTGTTATGAAGTTGGATTTTTTTCTACAAATCTATAATGAATACTAATTGTTCGTTTAGTTTACTTAAAAAAATTGAAAGCTTTCCCAATTTGAGAGGTACTATATATTACTTATTGAGTAATAACGTTTCCTTATTAATAGATCTTTTATCAGTATGAATAATTTAATTTTGACTATAAAGTTTATGATGAGTAGTATTGGTTTATATAAATAATTAACGAATACGATTAAACGAAGAATAATAAAATAAGCTGGGTATTATAACATTTACATATTCATTTGAAATGTAGTGAAAATATTATGACGTGTTTATTTGTCTAGACAATTAAATTATGGCCCTTACTGTCATCAGTTACTTACAGTTTCTGTCTCTTTAGTGTAGGCGTGTCATTTGAATAAAGCTGTCATGTTTGCTCATTTAAACGTCTAATCAGATGCAATTTTTTTTACTTTCTAGTCTATAAGAAAGGTATTATACCGGAAGAATAGTTTGTAATGATTTACTGATTTTAATTCTGCAATAATAGTCATGTTTAAAATATCTAGATGGGTTGGTAATCAACAGTAAGTCTAAATAAACATAAGTTCCAAAAATATGACAGGGATTTTGTTAGGCTTGAATCTATTTATACTACTGATGGAATATGATAAAAATATCTGAGAGAAAATTATGATACTATTATAAAATAATAGTAGATGAACAATCTTAATA